CCAAGACAGCCTCTCTCTAAAATCTAGCGGATAGTACGAAGTCTACGATGTTCTCCACAACAAATTTGGCCATTCCGCGCGGTGGCTCCACATCAGGGTCGGAGTGAATTAGAGGAAGCAAAGGACTACTGTAGCCTTGTCGTTTCCACCACTCACACTGTGACCCAAACTCTTATCACCACTGTGCCCCCGTGCTTCGATGAACGCCTCGAAGTGCGTTTTACAACGCAGGAACTGGACGCTGCGATTTCACTTTCCCGGCGCTCATCGGCACCCGGGCCGGACGGAATTACGTACGCTGCACTTCGCCATCTTAATACAGAAGCACGACAGATTCTGTTATCTTACAACAACACCTCCTGGGAGTCAGGAAATGTTCCAGATAGGTGGAAGTGCAGCCGCATAACCACACTGCTTAAACCGAGGAAGTGCCCTAATGAGCTTTCATCTTACCGGCCGATCGCCTTAAGCAGCTGCGTGGGCAAAGTCATGGAAAGGGTGGTATTGTCCAGATTAGATTGGCTTTTAGAGAGCAATAATCGCTTTCCTGCGTTCATGAATGGCTTTAGGAAAGGCCGATCAGCCATTGACGGGGTCATCAATTTGGTCTCCGATGTTGAACAGGAAAGATGTCGAGGCAGATTAATGGCAGCTGTTTTTCTTTACATTAAAGGCGCCTACGACAATGTCTTGCATTATGCCATCCTTGATGCGCCTGAGGATCTAGAAATCGACGGACGACTTTATGCATGGATCGTGAGCTACCTTAGCGACCGTACCGTGTATATGTCAACAAGCGATAGAGATACAGACCATTATAACATTCACCGTGGTGTTCCCCAAGGGAGTGTTTTCAGTCCGACACTTTTTAACATCACCTTGACTGGACTTGCTTCTGAACATCCTGACATGGTGAAGGTGAGCACATATGCGGACGACATCTGCATCTTGGCTTCTGGAGCTACGCGCCCCCAACTGCGTGCTCGACTGCAACGTGCAGTGACCATCACAGCAAGGTACCTACGTCGCCAGGGTTTCACACTGTCAACTGAAAAATGTGCAGTGCTTGCATTCACGCGAAAACAAATGTCAAGATACCCAATAACTGTGAATGGAACAGAAATTCGTGCTGTTGTGCAACACAAACTCCTGGGCGTTATCCTCGACCGGAATCTATCGTGGTCAAAACACGTCACAGCCTTGAAGTGAAAGCTCAAGAGTTTTGTCCACGTACTTCAGGTCATGGCCGGAGCATGATGGGGCCTTTCGGAGGCAGCTCTCCTGCAACTGTACCAGTCTTTATTCGTAGGGTACTTACGATACAGCATGCCCGTGCTTTCAAGCATGAAGCCCAGTTGTGCGAGCACGCCAGGACGCATCCAAGCTGAAGGGTTGCGCACATGTTTGGGCTTACCTCAATGCGCATCAACCAAGGGAACTCTCGCCGAAGCTCGGGCTTGTCGAATCAAAGTATATGTGCTCTGCGAGCCTCTTCGAGTCCACCTTCGCCTGTTGACTCGACACAGGCAACATCCCCTATCAGCGCTCCCTGCCAGCCACCGAGACTGCAGTTATTTAAGAGCCATAACAAGGCTCCAGAACATCATACCGCCAAGATTCTCTCCCCCACGCGTTCCTGAGACACTTCCGTGGCTCCTGCCTAGACCACTTGTCATACTTCAGATTCCTTGGATTATGAAGAAGTCCCTTGTATAATCGATCGGCCTAAAGCAACTTACACTGCTGCACATTTATACTATGTATGGCGGCGTGGCGCACGTATATACTGATGGATTTACCACGTCGCGTACCTCCGCCGCAGCCTTCGTCATACCGCAGATGAAGATAGCTCGACGTTTCAAGATAGATCACAAGACCACATCAACAGCCGCGGAACTTGTTGCTATTTGGGAGGCAATACCTTTCGTGTCGACAGAACCCGCTCGTAAACGGACGATACTGTGCGATGTCAAAGCTGCTCTTCAAACCATTGATGGCTTCATGAGACAAGGTCCATATCATACTTTATCGATTGAAATAGCAGAGCTTCTTGGCATTGCTACAAAAAATGAACATCATGTAACATTTCAATGAATACCTGCTCATTGTGGCATAATGGACAATGAAGAGGCAGACGCTGAAGCTAAGAGAGCTTTAAATAATGCCCCGGAAGTGTGCATCACATTTTCTCGACAAGATACTAACATCCTACTTCGACGCGTAATGCGCAACTCCATCTTAGAGCACTGGCAGAAACCAGAGCACCAGCACAAGCGGCTGCACAATTGGGACCCGGAAATGAAGTTTTGTATGCCTCTCAAGTTAAAGCGAAGCATCTCATGCATTATCCACCGCATTCGCCTCGGTGTAGCTTACACGAGACGTTACACCCACTTCATTGGCTGTAATGACACAGGTCCCAATTGTGGTCACTGTCGGTTGCCAGGAACGCTCGAACATATATTTTGCGACTGTCCAGCATATGCAAGCGAAGGTCAGCAACTTATATCTTCGATTGGCCGATATATTAGTCGACCATTAACCGATGAGGTTGTCTTAGGTCCTTGGCCTGACGCCAGCAGCACACATTTGGTTATACGAGCTGTCATCGCTTTCTTAGAAGCCACTGGACTAGATGCACGTCTGTAAAGTTACCCAGCCTAATAAAAACATATCATCTCCCTACCTTACCATCGTCATTCATCACTCTTTCACTCCCCAGTCACCCTTCCCCAGTGTAGAGTAGCAGGCCAGAGCAAACTATAGCTCAGGCCGACCTCTCTACCTTTCTGTAACTAAATTCTCTTTTTCTCTTCTCACCGAGCGGGAGACGATAATTGGTATGTAAAGCGCTAGGTCTGAACCATTCCGAATTCCAAACAAGGAAACGCCTCAAGGAGCCATATCTCCTCTGTTGTTTAATATCGCCATGCGTCGACTCACTCAGGCCTTGGACTGTGTACCACAGCGAGGTTATACCCTATACGCGGACGACATTACTCTGTGGGCCACACCGGGGTCCCTGACCAGCAAGGAGCAGACACTGCAAGAGGTTTCACTGGCCGTAGAAAACTTTGCCAAAACTAGTGGTCTCAGCTGCGCACCCGAAAAATCGGAGGTGATAAGAATACACAGCAAACGCTACAAAAGTAGCGGAAGCATAGAAATCGAAATCGAAAAGCAGAAAATCAAAGAAGTCACCGTTGCCCGGATCCTGGGTTTCTGGGTTCAAAGCAATGGTAGGGCAAATCACGCTATCAGTCTTCTTAAATCGGACACCAAACAAGTGGCCAGGATGATTAAGAGGATCACCTTTCACAAAAAAGGCATGAAGGAAAGTTATGCTCTGCGTTTAGTGCAGGGAGCACATTGACATAGAGCTTGCCTTTCCACACGCTGAACAAGAGCGAGGAAGAGCAAGTAAAATCTATCATCAGAGGGGCTTGCAAGGCAAAATTAGGCTTACCAATAAGCACTCCGACACACAAGCTGTTCGCGATCGGCGTGCATAACACGTACGCTGAACTGAAAGCAGCAACATTTATCTCTCAGCTTAACCGCCTCAGGCAGACGAAGTCGGGAAGAGAGGCATTGATAAGAGCGGGTATACCACCACAACCCTAAAACTTGGACGAGGAGCTGGTAGACGTATCAGACTCAATCCGACGGCATACTTCTATCGCCCCTACTTCTAGGAACATGACCAAGGAGCGGCATCACGAAAGGCGAGAGGAGCGCATAAAATGAATCAGAAAATTAGTCAGAGGCAATGAGAACGTGCTATAGCAGGTATAACTATAGAAGCGCTGCGTCATCACAATTGTAAGCAGCGACACGAGAGGAATGGTGTCCAGCGCATCACTGTACACTACATCGATAACCAAGGCCGAGTGTTTCGCCATCGTATTGGCGATTAAAAGTCGAGAGCGCAACGACGGCCACACGTACATCACCATACTCTCAGATTCCCAAGAGGCGTGCCGACTATTCACGAAAGGCCGCCTCCCAATAAACATTTGCAAACATTTAGGCACCGAATTAAGCAACACTTACAGGTTGGCCTGGTGCCCTGGACATGCAGGCCTAGAGGGTAACGATATATAGGGCGGACGCTCTAGCTCAAGCGCTCACGAACCGAGCGGAGCAGCAGCCTTTCTCGCTGCACCCAGCGCTACGCACGATGGCTTTCGCACGCGAGGAGGAAGGAAACGAATAAACTCGGATGGCTCCGCGAGAGCTTCTTGCTCACCAACGATGCACGCAGCAGAAATATGGCGCCCTCCACAATTTTTTTCTAAAGCGAAGACGCCATAGACCTCCATAAAATTCAAACGGCAGTTTGTCAATTTTGTTACGACTGCACAAAATTTATCCAACTTTGTATGGGGGCGATTGTCCGTGGTGTCATGACTCGACACCTACCCTTTACCATGTCTCGTGGAGTTGTGCTAAACGGCCAAATGAACGCAGTCGCTTACAGCATATGGATAGAATAGAAAACTCTTTAGAGCAGTGGAAGGCACTCCTCGCTAGCTCGGACCCGGAAATGCAACTAGCACTCCTGGACTACATCCGACTGGCGGCGCAAGCCAGTAGAGCCTTGGACATGGCGCCCCACCCATCTAGCTCCTACACTCCTGCTTTTTGAACCCAAAAAAGTTATTTCTCTTACACACAATCATAGTGGTTTTGAGATTTTAAACACCAACAATCATCATTTCACACAACTCCCACCAACTTGACTAGCTTTGCCGAACAGGTGGCCGGGGTTATTATTTTTTTATTATTCATTACATACTGCAGACTTTTAGGTCCAAGCAGGTGGGCAGTTACAAGGAGACATAGTCGAAACAATAAGTGGCATAAAGATTGTTTGGGGTGAGTGTTTCATACACTCATAGTGAACACAAGGAGCGACTTAGCATCAATGTAGAGAACACGAGAAATCGCTTCGCACTCGTCCTGCATTATCATATTCCGGATATACTAAACAGACTTACGGCTTCCCCTGGAAAGTCCATTCTTCTCTGGTCTCCGCTTCTCTACGTCGGCGATCGAACGCTCGTATGATTGCAGCGACCTACGTCCACAGGCACGCAGGGTCACCCTCTCGGACAAGTCATCGCCATCTCGTGTCCTAAACCATTCTGCGGTAGTCCTTGCGCACGCGCTATTCGCTCCAGCAGCTTCATCTTAAACGGCTCTTAACTATAGTTTGTTAACGCTCTCAGCGCGCGTTACTCGTTTACAGGGAGACTATCTGTGACGCAAAGGGAGCAGGTTTAATGGAATACAAGTGCGCAAACGCGCAGCCAGCTCCGTCACGCGCGCAGATGGTGAGGCTTGACGGGGCCCTGTCAAAACCAAATTTTCAATGTTGTTTTTTTTTTTTTCATCACTTGCAATTTCCCCGCTGCGTACATGTGGCCGTTGAGTACACAGGACAGCGTGAATCTGTGAAACCGACCCCAGACGGCTGTGTGTTAGAGCAGTAATATGACCAGAGTGGAGTAAACGTTTTCGGTTGTCACTAGTGGTGGTAGTGTCGAGCACTTTTGTATGTTGCTCTCCGTCTTACTTTGTCCGAACGTTTACACCTAGTAATTAAAAGGTCAGTGTTTAGGCGGCGGTTAACGATTCTTTCGACCACACACCAACGGCTGATTGAAGGTGTAGTGCGTCGCCGGGTGCAAAAGCAAAACTTATTACAGTCCACCTGGCCCGTAATGATGTCATTGCTGCACCGGTTAAAGGCATTCGAGCACGAGGTTCATGAAAAGGAAAACAAAAAAAATGACAGCATATATCCACGGTGTGAATGATGATTGGTGGGGCGAAGCGTTCGTCAGTCCGTCCATGCGTTCGTCCGTCCATGCGTTCGTCCGCCCATTCGTTCTTGCTTCCGTCCATCCGTGCGTCCTTCCGTCCGTCCGTCCGTCCGTCCGTGTGTCCGTTCATCCTTGTGACCACCGGTGCATCCATCCGTTTGTACGTCTGTTCTTCCATCTGTCCGTCCGTGCGTGCGTCTGTTCGTGCGGTTGTCCCTTTGTCCGTGTGTCTGCCTGTATATCTGTCTGTCTGTCCGTCCGTCCATGCGTCCGCCCTCTGTTGGTCTGTCCGTCTATCTGTATGTCCATCCATCCGTCCATCCGTCCATCCGTCCATCTATCTAGTAAACACTCCAAATACAGCCATCTCAAATCTTTTGCCCCGCCGCGGTGGTCTAGTGGCTAAGGTACTCGGCTGTTGACCCGCAGGTCGCGGGTTCGAATCCCGGCTGCGGCGGCTGCATTTTTGATGGAGGCGGAAATGCTGTAGGCCCGTGTGTTCAGATTTGATTGCACGTTAAAGAACCCCAAGTGGTCGAAAGTTCCAGAGCTCTCCACTACGGCATCTCTCATAATCAAATGGTGGTTTTGGAACGTTAAACCCCACATATCTATCAATCAATCAATCACATCTTTTATCGTGTATTCATCATATGCAAGTTCCGCCATTCAGCAGACATTTTAAGGATCACTCTTTCGGGTATGTGCCACCGGAGGCTACATACACCACCACAAGATGGACAGACCCCCACCCTCAGAAGCTTCGCCCCTAAAAAGTGCTAAATTGTTGGCAGTTCGATGACGTGAAAACCTCAGGAAAATACGAAACCCTCCACGTTCTTTTGAAATTTGGGGTGAGGTTTACCATAACGTAGCCAGGGACAAGGTTTACAGGGGCAAGGTTTACCATGGCGTAGCCATGGGCAGTAGAATAAAGGGCTCCACCACCATCCTTACCCGAAATTTTTGAATGTCCGGGAAAGGTGGCGGAATTCAGGAGCCACGCTCTTTCGAAATTCCTTCTGGGTCAATTATAGGAGGCATAGAAGTGCGCACTAAGGGGAGGGGGGTGCCTCTCCTAGTCTCCTAAAAGGGGGGAGTGCAAAGTCAGCCCTATACACAGGAGGGCACTGTGACTCGGGATCGTGGGGAGGGGGAGGGTAGCCAGCCTGTCACGTTGAACAAAAAGGAGGAGGCGCTGCGATCAACCTTCGTCCCCCATGAAGGGGAACTCTGCGCACGCATATATGCTCATTACAGATTAGGTGACTGATGATTTAGGTACACGTGAAATAAAATATATTCTAAATGCTTGCTGCGCCCCACCATTCGTGTGCAGTGCCCTTGCATACAGCGAAAACCCACAACAGGCGTGTTATACCCTCGAAATTTGACGGCATCGTCCCTTTGAAGAACGCCAGATGGCCGAAATTGCCAGACCACTACACTACGGCGCATGCCTGATAAAATATCGTGATGTTGGTACGTAAAATTCCGTATATTACTAAAATTGTAGAGCGCATATGAGGGAAGAGAAGTAGGAAATTAAGAAGTAGAATAAAGATAGGAGTTAAGTGCATTAAACAGGGTTTAGAGGATGATTGAAAATCATATCTTAACTACGTGCGACAGAGGTAGAAGGCACATAACGTGTAACAATGTATACATGAAACTACTGGACTTTATCAGCCTCTTTATCGGACAATGGCTCCGCAACAACTGCGAATTTCCGCTCTATTCATGCACCCAGCTGGTAGGTTGCGATTCCAACTACAGGATGCAGCATTTATTGGGGAGTTGTACTTTCAGATGAAGCGAGAACATAATTTCATCGAACATTTCGCGTCCCTCAAACCTCTGCTGCTGGGTGTGGTTACCTATTTAGCGCACAGGTGTGGTTGTATTCGTTAAGAAGTGGGACAAGCTGCCCGATGGCTGTTTTGAAATGCAACTGTTACCTAAACTCTACAAAAGTTGTGGTCACTGGAGAGTCCACCATGGAGTACCGATTATCAACTTGGTTTTCAAAATGAGATTCGCTCCTTTCTATTGGCTGTACATTTTCATAGCTGCTCGATAAGTAACGAGGTTGACTTCAGCCAGCTTCTCATGAACGCTCCACATTTATAAGAGAAAAACTGTATATGCGTAGAATTATTTGTTGTCCAGAACTAAGCCGTCTCAGTATTTCTTTATGGCCACTAGCTTCTTTCCTATTGGTATAGAAGTAAACCATCTGATTTACTGTAAATTTGTTGAAAGTTGAGGCGTTGATAATGACAGAGCTCTTACTTTTTTCATTACGTATCGTGACGTCTCCGTTGCAATGACGTTTCTGTTGTCGCCAACTCCAGAGAGAAAAAAATTAGGGAACCCTAAAGCTTCGTCTTTAGGAATTAAACGCGATAGCGACATTCTGTTCCTGTAGTGCGTACTTCAAACACTTCGTGGGTGAATTTTTTTTTTCAAATTTACTATGCACCCACTACGTGACCTTAAGGGAATAGGCGCAGTAGCGTGTGTGCCTTTTGTAGTGGGGCATCGACTTTCAACCACAGAGCCTATATGATAAATACATATTCTGATGTCTGTTGAGAATGGGCCCTTGACCCCGCATTATTACTGCGATATTTCATGTTGCATTGGGAAGCATATATACACGACACGTGTGTTTGTGTAGCATGAAGGCTGATTTCACTGCATTTCCAAGCAGAGGAAGTTATTTTCACTGTATTCACTAGTGGACGCGTGGCCGTGTGGTAGAACATCCGCTTGACACGCAAACGACGGGGGTTCGATTCCCACTCAGACGCCAACAACTCTGATTCGGTCCCCACTCTGCTCAGGGCCTTTTAGGGGCGAAGCTCGTCAAGGCGTGGCTCGGCCGTCTGCTGTATGTAGTAGCCACCTCTCGTTATAGTCCTTGGAATGTCCACTGGATGGCGGTTCTTGTATACGATGAATGTATAATGAAAAGATTCGAGATGGCGGTATACTTGAAGTGTTCCCTAGATAAACAAACATACACACAAACAAACGAACGGATGGATGGAGAGACGGAGGGACGCGGCCAGCGGATGATTCACGGTTTGCCGATAAAACACTTCGAAGCTTCGCCCCACTCATCATCAATCACTCTATGGATATGAAGTGATTTTTTCTCGTTTATTTATTTTATTTGCACCGCTCTGCAGAGGGTTCTGCACAGATTCTAATTTCTGACTGTGGAGTAACAGCACAAGCAGCGTGCGTTGCTTTTTTTTTCTTTTTTTCTATAATGGTAACGGCAGAACATTATCCTTTTCTGTGACATAAGGAGTAACACGTTCCTTTTTTTTGTTGGCATACCGAGTAACGTACATAGTTACCTGCTTTTTTTTTCTGGAACACCTGCAACACTTGAGTTTTGGCTGAGCTGTCTAAACCGAAACACCCATTTCGCATCACAACGTCAGGTCTCAAATGTCCCGCTAATACATCTTTAGTTGTTTCTTTTTCACCTAAGCTTAAAATTAAGCTATCCACATGTCCGAAACCTGTCACTGTGAGCGTCCCTGCGTCCTTTTTTCTTTATCTTTTCGACACTGTGTGAATTCCAAGCGACCTGCGTCGTCCATTTTTCTTGTCCTGTAAGCTTATCGCATCCAGCTTATCGCAGTGGACAGAGACCTGGGATTCTGGTGGTTTTGCCGAATAAACTGTGACCTGAAGAAAAAAAAAAAGGTGTGTGTGTGTGGGGGGGGGGGGGGGGGGGTTGGCGCTACCCTTGTAGATTCCTGCATCCCCCAACACCCCTAGTCGCCTCCCTACTCCCCCACCCCGTACATTCTTTGTGTCCGTCTTCTATCTCGGTACCTGTGATGTTGCACTACTGCATATAATGAATCCTCTCTAAATACAACTGCAGCCAGTCACGTCAGACAAAAAAAACACACTTTACTACACACTTTTACACACTACACCCTTTTTACACACTACACACTTCTTTCACCCGTACCCGATGTGCTATCAACCAGGCTGATTTGCCAAGGGCTCACAGTGATGTTGACTGAAAAATGCCGGCGCCCTCCATAAGTAAAGTGGGGCAGGGGTGCAGTAAAAAGGTTGGCGTGCATGACGTACTACTTTTCTATTTTCTTTCGCTATATCTCTTTCTCACTCTATCACATTGCGCAAGCTCCCTCGTGGATGTTTTCTTCTTTTTATTTCTGGGAATATCTTACTGTCATTCCCGTGCTTAACAACGAAAAAAAAAAGGGGGGGGGGCACTACGTTAAAGGATCGGATTACCGTGTCAACAGAGGCTGAAGCCTACGATCTCAAGCCTAAGAATAAAAAAACAATAGAAAACGGCGCGCGCAGAAGAGCACGTGACCGGCGTACCTTCACCAGGCTTTCACATTCAACGCCACCCACCAAAGAATTCTG